AGCAGTCCACTGACTCCGCTCCAGCATTTCTATCCAGCAGCGCTTGGATCCAGCATGCAGAGCCCACGTGATCCCAACATGCTGCGCTAACAAAGTAGCAAGAAGTAGGAGTGATGTCGGCAGAACTTTCTATTTTCATCAGAAACACAGTTGAAGGTAAGTGCAAAAATTTCACGCACAAGTTTTCCGTGGGGGCACAGAACTGTGTACGTTTTAATCTGGAGACACAACCAGACTCTACTCTCCACCTGGCAGCAGTTATGCGGTTCGGCCCAGTTTCAGAACCTCCTCTCCGGTCCGGTCAGTGGTTCTATAAGCGAGTACAGCACGCTTACGGTTTTGACATCAGCAGAATGCTGCCTGTGGTTTAGCTCTGGGATTGATGGACAGAAGAAAGGAGAGCGCAGCTTTTGTTTTCGAATACGAGTGCGCAGTGATTAAAAACTGCTAATCACCACATGATGCTCGGACTGTAGAAAGTAGAAATATAGCAGTAAGAAATTGAATTAACTGACTAATTCTTACTATTTATTTTTTTGCTCTTGATATTAGAGTGATGTTTAATCTGTTTATACACTTTGTTTTAGTGAAGATTAAGTGCAGTGATCACGTTTTGGGCACAGTCAGTAAAATTGGAGCTGTGGACTCTTAACTTTGATAACAGCTGGACATTGGACAATAATTTTGGTTTTGTTTTGTCCCCACCTTCAGTTTTTCCCAACGTAAAGCAGCACCAGGATGACTGACAGTAAAAAATAACCAGAGTGACTTTGAATTGTTATTTTACACTTTAAATGTACATTTTGTTTTTATTATGTTTTATTTTTCCAGGTATGCTAATTTATTTTATTAAAATTTAGAATGTTCTTCAGTTTAAAATGTATGTGATCCATTGGTTGAAAATAAATGGGTCAATATTTTTCTTACCTACTCTTTTTCACTGTTTGACTTGATCAAGACTTTTCTAAGATTTCACACTACAAAATAGGCAAAAGTGCGTGATTCGTACTGATATGGTATCGGGTTAATATTGGTATCGGCCAATTCTCAATACCGGTATCGTATCGGAAGTGAAAAAGTTGTATTGGGACACCACTAGTTGTGAAAATATCAATTTATTATTATATAAAATATAAAGTCCATTTGCATATTTAAAACTTTATAACTCAGTTACTCAGTTCTTATTTTCCCTTTTCAAAATAAAAGGTTTTAACTATTCATTTTATTCTTGGGGGTGGGTGGAGGGGTGAGCTTGGCTTGGAAGTAAGAAAGTGGGGCTTTCAAGGAAAATAGGTTGGGAACCACTTTTGATTACAGATTGTGGATCACTCTTTGCTACGACACTTTTTTTTTTTTTGCTTTATCTGTAAAACTATCTAAATTAATTAGGTAAAAAGAGCTTTAACCATTTCGTATTTGCTAACAATTACTGCTGTGTCAACCAAATTGGAATGATTTAACTTCAACAAATAATCAGAAGTCCATCCAGCAGTGCTGGGCGGTAGGATCAAAATTTTATATCACAATATGCTTAACGATGATCTGTATCAGCGTTTGATGGTATTTTTATTTTCATCACAGCTCAGCTGATGTTAAAATGGACAAAATCTGCTAATTGACCAGCTAACTGTGGTTAGCTGAAGTTACTCTCTTCCTGCAACACAGAAATTATTTGACATTTTTCTTTTACTGTACCTCTGTCTGTGTTGCATTTTGCCCGTCTTTTCTTCCTTCCCTGGATGCAGACATTAGTCGCACATTCTGGGTTTACGTCTCATTGGCAGTGGGGGTAAGCAGGTACAGTCGTGAATGAGGAGGGTTGAGCAAAGATCATGATCAGGCAAATTTACTTTGTGCATGAAGTCTATCTTTGTACGTCACTGAAGATGTGCACATTGCATTCAGCAAAAACTGGAGTTTTTTTGTCAGCCAATGTAAGCAGAGAAATTGCCACCTGTCGCTTGTGATTAAGAAGACTGCTTGCAGCTCCATTTCCTGCATGCGCATCCAGTTGTGCTATACAGTAAAGAGACCCAGTGAAGCTGTTTAATGGTGGGTGTGACGTAACGTTCCAATCATTCAGGCCATTTAATCCGGTATGCTGATAATCAGAAAATATAACAAAATATAAAAATGTTTTTCAGTATTAACTAGTATACCTCCCAGCACTACCATCCAGTAAGTATTTCCTAAAGGTTTCATTAAAAACTTTGTAGTGGTTAACGAGCTATTTTGCTAACAAAGAGTTGTACTCCAAAATGCTCAGAATACCTACTAAGYATGACTTTCAGCTACCACCACACCAAATTGTGGCCCATTTTGTTTAAAGTTGACAGAGTTATAGCTATTTCTGAGTTTCTTTCTTTTATTGGCTTTAGCAGCGATCTTGAGTTGGGCTGAATCAGAAAAAAGAAAATCAGTTGTAGATCTAAGATTTTTTTTAAAATACAAACAGACGGCAGGGGGTAATAAAAACATCTCATGTTGTGACTGCAAAGTCCAACTGCAGTTACAAACTGAGAAAACTGGAGGGCATTAACGGTGAAGCAGAGTTTTAGCTATAAGCACTGGGCTTTGTGTGATACTTCCCTCTTTTACTGTTTAGTTTACCTCACATGTGCTCGACACCGTTAACTTTCAAGTGGCATAGGCTGGTTTGAGTGCAGTGAGGCTTTGGGTGCATTTTATTTTATTTTATTAATGTTGCAAACCACCACATATATCACCACAAACAAGAACAGACTCACAATCTCTGCAGGTCTAATACAGATGGTCTTAACCAAGTCTCACATTTGAAATGAACGTGCACCTTCCGCAACAATAAAGTCATGATTTCTCTTATTTGTTTTTTACGTTAGGGCGGTCATGAGTGGTTACTTTGGTTTGTGATTAACCCAGAGATTGTGAAACCAACAGTTACCTTCATGAGGCAATCATCAACCGTATCTGCAACACTACGAAGCCCTACCTGGGATTTATTCAGTGGATGCCCTGCCTTCAGTAGCTGAAATAGATTTGATAGGAAATGTAACAACACATATTTAACAAATTTTCTGTGCATAAAGCAAGGCACTGCTGGGTTTCAGACATAAATGACTCACCCATATCTATCCCAATGTGTGACCTTGATGCTTGTTACGTTACTCACCGATAARGTTTGAAACATTAAGTGTGTAAAGTTATTTTACCTGTCCACAATTCATCGTTTCCCATTGTTGTATTTTCAAAACACAAACATTTAATTTTTGTTAACAAAACTGCACTTCTCTGGGTGATTTATTTAAATATGATTACCATAAAAGGTCAGCTGGTGCAGCTTGCAACCTTTGCAATTTTTAAACAATAGACAAAGCTGGAATTAAAATGTTATTTTTTTTAAATTAGGTACTAAGTACTTTTAAAAAGGCGCACTTATTTGTAACTAGCAACAGTGACTTCTGATACAGTCCATTAATTCAAGCAAAGGCAAACTAATCAAATCCATTATCAAAGTGAATGGAAGAAGCAGACTTCCAACTCTGAACACATGAATGTTTGTGTTTATAAAACCATAAAAGTAGCTTACTGAATTACAGAGGTGAATGGATTTGTTGGTGCCTTTAAAACTCATTGAAACAATGCACTTCTTATGAAAAGTGAATTGTCTAAAGCAGTGGTTCCCAAACTTTTTTATCTTCTGACCCACAAAATTTGCATTGAAAAATCTTGTGACCCCAAATATTACTGGTCTGAGTACACAAACTTCGTTAATAACCCTAAAAACGCAGGCTTTTTGACAATCTAAACAGCTTGTATACAAATATAAATACTTATTTATACTTATTTTGTGTTTTTGTAATAATTATAGGGAAAATATTACATCAGCAATTATTTTATTACCCTTTAAATTGATTTCTGGAGATTATCCAAGGTGCTTCATGACCCATAATTGGGTCCCAAGCCCAACTTTGGGAACCAACGTGCAGTGGTTCCAAACCTTTTCAGCTTTTGACCCACAAAATAACAGTAGCAGGGACCTGTGCCCCCAACTATTTTTGGATGATAAACATTTGTATCAGGTCAACTAAACATGGGCATAGTAACAATATTTTTWTACTACATTTATCCATTTTAAATATACTAACCTCACTCCTTTGTAACAATTACGGCAAAAATGTAATTAATTCAGAAAATCTTTTCAGGACCCCACCTTGATGTTTCAGGACCCCACTTTGGGTCCCGACCCCAACTTTGGGAAACACTGGTCTGAAGTCCTTCTGCATGCTTTTAGTATGCAAGCATAATCAAAATAAAAATTGTTTAAGAAATATGTTGTGTTTGACCTTAGAGTCACAGGTGCTTTCAAGATTTTCATCAGCCATTAAGGGAACAGGGTATTTTGGTATGGTTGTGTGACCACAACCAAAGGCAAGACGTATCTCAGGATCCAGAAAAAAAAATTAAAGATATTCACATTAAAGATAAATGTTTAAAGACCCTCTCTAAGCAGCTTTAGGTTCCTCTGAACACATATGATAATATTATTATAATATTATTAACACAATTTAGGTTTGTAGAACCGGAGTCAACCTCTTATGATGTGGACGCAAGAGGAAATGCAACCCCAGGTTGATCAGATGAATAGTTTGAATTGTAGAAAAAAAAAGGGCCATTCAGATCAGTTCTAAGGTCAAGGTACTTTCTGATTGCATCATCTGTCAAATTTTGAAAAACACTACAAAGCTGCACACTGACAAACCCTGAAGTTTATCTGAGATTAATGCATAACTGTTTCTCTTTTGCTAGCTGTGTTTAAATAATATAATTGTGGAAGAGTGGCAACATAAGTGTGCAGCAACAATCCTGAACTTGCAGAAATATTGAAAGTTATGACACTGAAGCAAAAAACCTGCCAGCTCTTTGGCGCGAGCTGAAGAAAAGTTTACCTATAGGTGATGTCTATCATTTTTTAAAGACAACAAACTGCAGATTTCACTGCGGGTGTTCTCGGTTCTACTTACAGGTAGTAGGTGAAAGTACCGAGCCCAGTCGGGACGGTGGTTAGTCCTCTCCCGGAGCAGTCTGCTCCCCCATCTTCATCGCAGCTGCATGAGGGCGAACACACGGCCGCAGACTGCCCTTGACCGGACACACCAGGACGAACAAAACACCACAAACACATCCAAAACAAATCCACGCGCATTTTTTCTGTCTGTCTCCACGTCGTCGAATCAGGTGGAAGAAGAAGAAAAAAAGAGGGGCCTTTGTTTGTGGGGTTTTATTCTACTCCGGACGTCGACTTCTTCTCATGTGGTCGTTTCGGTTGAGAGGCATGAAGAGGTGAAGCCGTCCGAAGCGACGCTTTTCCGTAAATTGACAAACACTTCATGCGTTCACGTGCCCGAGCACAAATTAAAAACTGCTAGCTTAAAAAGCAAACAGCGCCTTCGAAGACGGGCTCGTTACCTTACCGCTAAACATTGCTCTTCTCAGCCCCCGTTTTTTTTTTTTATCGCATTAGTCCACAAAGCGACAGGAGCGGCATTTTTTTGCGCCTTCGTTGTCCCATTAAATAAGACGAACTAAGAAAATAACATTCGCTGAAAAGAGCTAGCGATATTCGGCGTCTTGATTTGTTTCGTTGCGGGAGAGCGCCGTCAGTTTGCAGCCATTCCTCACGTTTACCCCCTCTCTCTTTCTCCCTCCACTCTCCTGACATCAACAGCGTGTTTTGCAGCTCGACAGGCACCCTACCGGACAACCTGCAGCAGCACCGGGCCGGGCCCCCTCCTGCCTTTATCCCTGAAACCTGTCTGCRGAGCCGTCGGTGCTCAAGTCCCAACACAGTCAGGTAAAAACGTCTCTGCAGGGTCATTAACATATTAGCAGCGCACGTGTTTGCCTGCATGTGAGGAGGAGCACAGCTGCACCAGTTATATGCACTCGTTTTTCTTCATTAGTTTTAAGGCACCCACAAAGTCTGAAATATAACATGTAAAAGAAGTGAACCTGGGCTAAATGAAAAGGTGCACTTTTTATGAGTTTACTCCAGTAGCTTCAACAGATATGTTGCATGTAGTTAACACAGATTTTACCCCCAAGCAGTGGTGGGCAGCACTAATTAGTTCCACTTACCCTAAACGCACTAACACATTGAAAGTTTTAGAAAAATCTAATTCTAAAGCACTAAAATAACCCAGTCAACCCATGAACATATTGCCATGTTGCTCTCTGTTAAACCCCAATGGGTTTTCTTGATTTTTTTTTTACTCAAAATACCATGCTGAAATTGACATCAAAATAAAGCTAACACCTGGTAAAGTTGATAAGAAGTGTAAGTGTTAAAACAGTTGCCGTTGTTTTAGATATATCGAGGACAGAACATGTCCTCTTTATTTATTTTTTAAATATTTTCCCCCTTCCGTCTGAATAATTTTTTGCATTTGACAGTATTTATCACATTTAAAACCATAATGAAGTAGGCTAAAAACTCTTGTAAACCATAAATCCACTTGTGGACATTACCTGTGCAAAGATTCATGCTGCTAAAATTAACTGGAGCAAAGTTACAGAGGTTTTAGTAAATATATATATATATTTTGTTTTGTCATTCTGCACAGGATGGACCATGTAGGTACCATTAATAAATGTTAAGAAATCAGAAGTTTTTAATTGCAAAAGTTAATTATTTTTTATTACCTGACTGAAAAGACTTGTTATTGAATGTTTGTTCTTTTGAAAGATTATCCAAGCATTTATTCTGTCACCATATATATTATATAAAATAATGAGAAATTATATTTGACTTCAGTTGGACAATATTCACTCAAAATCATGTAAAAGAAAAAAAACTCAACACACTTTACAACCGATTTTTGTATCTGCCTTGACTTACTTTAAAAACAAATGTCAAAAACTTTTCCTTTACAGATTTGTTGTAATGTATTTACAGATTTGCAACAATTCCATTTTGTACAGTTTGTTTACTTTCTGATTCAATTGCCTCTTGTTTGAACTGTGTTTGGTGGATGTAAATATAGTTGCCATTAGCTTTTAGCCAAGATTCTTCGCTTTCTATTGATTCCAAACATGCTAAGGTTCAACCTACAGATCTTAGGTTATTAAAAGTTAAAAGATATATAAAACGGGAAGTTTTGCTCAATAGGTTAAATTTAGCAAATGCTAATCCCCTAACAATTTTTTAAATTAGCAAAAGCCCTAAAGCACTAATCAGGAAATTAGTTCCACTATTAGTGCTTTAGTGCTTTAGGGAAACTGCCCCCAAGTTTTCAAATTATAGGTTTTTGAGTGGTTTGCAACATTTGTAAATGCGTGTAATTCAATAAGCATTTTTAATAATAATAATAATAATAAGAAGAAGAAGAATGTCTTTGCCCCAACTTGGTGTCTCGTTCACAAGTGATGGTAGGAGCAGGTAGTGGATCGATGGATTGGAGCCTCATCCTCAATAATGACAGCGTTCTTGCAGAGCCCTAAAAAGTGTTAAGGCATTGAATTAATCAATTTAAAATTAAGGCCTTAATTACCCTTAAAATGTCTTAATTCAATCTTTCAGAGGTCTTAAAAATGGTAACATATTGTAAGTAGGATGACTGCAATTCATCTCAGATAATAAAATATTCGGTGACGTTTGTTATTTTTTTACATTTTACTAAATGCCTCTTGCAAATCATTGTTTGTGTTAAAATAAACCTCGGGTAAAATTGTCGCCATTTTTTTCCATTTGTGTTTTGAGGTCTTAAAAAGTCTTAAATTTAAATTGCCTTAAGCTGTAAGAACCATGAACGAGGGCGTTGCTTCGGTAGGTCGTGGTGAAGAAAGACCTGAGTCGAAAGGCAAAGCTCTCTATTTGATGGTCTGTCTATGTTCCAACCCTCACCTGTGGTCGTGAGGTGTGGATCATGACCAAAAGAATGAGATCCCGGATCCAAGCGACCAAAGCGAGCTTCCTATGTAGGGTGGCCGGGCTCAGCCTTAGAGATGGGGTGAGGAGCACCATCATTAGGGGTAGCTTGGAGTAGAGCTGCTGCTCCTCCACATTGAAATGAGTCAGTTGAGGTGGTTTGGGGATCTGATTAGGACGCCTCCCTTTACAAGTGCTCTGGGCACGTCACACTGGTAGGAGGCCAGGAATTATGTATCCTCTCTTACCTGGGAACAACAGAGTCCCCCAGGACAAGCTGAGAAAGACCTGATGCCTCTGAGACACAACTACAGATAAGCAGCAGCAATTAATTAATTTAAAAGTAAATATTTTCTTCTATATCGTGTGTATTATTATTATTTCTTTTTTTTTTTTTTTTTTTTGGTGTGGGGGCGGGGTAAAAAACACCATAAATCAATGATGCAAAAGAAAATAAAGCTTGCAGTTACCTGCTTTATTGTCTGTTTGTTCATTCTAATTAACTGAACCAAATGATATGGTTTCAACAAGTGGAAGCCTCCCTTCACTTTTCAGGATTTTACACTGTGATAGAGCACTGGTAGTTTTCCTCACTAATCTGATTTGATGGATAATTACTTGGGTGGAGGCCTGACAAAAGGAGGTTCGTGATGTAAAGAGTTCAGTGGAGATTAAATTAAACATGCAAGGACTGTTGATGTTTCTGTACATGTCTTATAAGAATGTTTTGAAATGAACAAAATTCTGATTAATAATGCACAAAGTATCACAGCTTTGTAAATTTTGGAAATTATCCCACATCTTTTGAATTGTTTTTTCAGAAATAGTTTAAGCAGCTTTAGTATGTCTTCCTGTATTTACCTTAATTTGCACCAGTTTTATTCTGTTCATTTGAATTATGCTCATATTGAACTGGAGCTTTAATGTAGTTCCTTATTTTAACTGTGAGCTGCTTTAGATAAAAGCCTTTGCCAGTTTCTGCTTTTGCTTTTTAGAAATTCAAAGACATTCTGTTCCATTTCATTTCATAGAAACTTGTGTGCTTTGGATCCTTATCGTACTGAAATATTCCAAGTTTCAGGAGATTGGGAGTTATCTCATCAGTCAGTATTTTGGTATATCCACAGGAATTCATGTTGCTATCTCGAATTTAATCTCCTCAACACCTTTTGCCCCCATCCAGCTGCATCATATCATCACTCCAGTAACTATGTGATACTCTGTCACAAACATTTGCTCATTGTGATCTTTGTCAGATCCATCCCACGCACGCTAAACCTCCTCCGTACTTGAAACGGGCAAAAAGAGTATCTTTATACAGTACATTTTGATGTTTAACCTTAATATATATTTTTTGCCTTTTTTATACAGTATGTAACCATGCAAGAAGACACTCCGTAGGTTCAAAACTGAGAAAGTTTTGGGGTTCACCAGTAATTTTTCTAACATGTTCATGGAGTTAAACAAACTGCTTTGGTCTATGCTCTATTACCAGTTACAGTTTGTAGTTGAGTGTTTAAAACAAGCAACGGTTCACTTTTAAGGGTAGCTGAAGACTAGTTGGCAACTCAGAAATAAAAAAAGCTCATATTTTTTGTTGCAGTCTTAGTGAATTCTGGATGTTTATGACCAGTGAACCGTGTGGTTGCATTAGAGTTTGGCAAAATCATATTGCCTTCAGTTAATCATAAGAAAAACTATCACCAATTAATTTTTACCAAGTGGTGACATATTTTTGTGTGCAATTCACTGTCACTACTGTGCATGTGAACCTGTTGCATATTGCTTTACTAAAAATCTGCTGCCATTCCATATTGTGGAAAGGGTGTGAGTTTCAATTCCCAGCTTACTATTTTAACTTGGTAAAATGAAGAAGTTAGTTTGACTGATGATTTGTAAGTATYATTTTAGAACGCAGAGCATAGAGTCAAAAACATTTGAATGCAAATATCGTCTTATTAATCATATTAATCGTTATCGGCTAAGTTCAGATTAATTGTAATTTTTTATTTATTTATTTATTTATTTATTTATTGCCAATATCGCCCAACTCTAGGCCTATGGGAGGTGATAATTAATTTTATGTTTTTTTACACTTGAGCTAGAAAGCTGTTTTTTATAAATTTTTAATATACAGTATGTCATGGGAGTCTGGAGGGACACATCGGAGGTAGTACCATGGCTCCAAACCCTTGGGCACTTCGGCATGGGCCCTGTAAAYTCCTAAACCCCCAACTTTGACACTTAACTGTGCGAAAACAAARGCTGAACAACCACATGTCTGCGCGTTGACTATTTCGGCTTCGGATGGAGTATGTTGAGGCCTTTATTCTTTGGTGATAACGACCTACTGAACTCAAGGTGCAGAAGGGGGGAAGTTTGAAGCCACCCTTTGGGGATTATAACAACTAATAACTAGATACCATATAGCAGTTACATAATGACCCCCGCACGCACAAATGCACCAGAACTCAGAAGTCTTTATTCCTAATAAATGTCATGGTGCATCCCAAAATTGTAGTGGTTTGAGT